ATGATTGACGTGATACAGCTTGGTTCAGTAAGATATTCTGAGAACACATGCACAATAAAAAACTATCCATAATGGAGCTGTTCGAGTAGAAGGCAACCTGTCCTGGCCCAGTTGTCGTGATGCGTCAGAGATTCTCGATTTCTGGTGCTTGAACGAGAAAGTTACCGGTGGCAGTCTATTCTGAGAACCGAGAGTCATTTGGAACGCATCCAGCAAAAACATTTCAACTGTTTCCAAGTGCTGTTTTCTTTTTCTGTTTTCAACGGATCCATCATTGACGTAGGTTGCGGTCAATTATTATCGCGATTACGAGCGAAATGTTCTAATTATATATTATAATTTGTAGGATTCATTTGAACAATGTATATACAATTAGATATGCGATTACTAAGGATTGGATATTTGACCTTTGGACTAGGAAACGATGCGAAATAACTTAAGTGATGTATACAGGGTGTTAGAGGTATGATATTCGTAACTTTAAGAGGTGATTCCTTGCATTATTCTGAGCAAAAAGGTTCATTATAACTTATTTCCGAAAATCAATCGCAAATAATTAAATTTTCTCAAACATTTGGCAACGCTGCAACGCAACCGCGATACGAGCGCACGACGACCGCAACTGATTCATCGAATTGTTTACGCTTGTATGATATTTTTCTTGAAAATATGCCTTGAATTATTAAATACTTTTACGCAATTTTTTGTGGCTGATATTTTTTATTTAATAACGCTTTCAGTACAGTACATTTACTAAAAAAAATGAAAGAATCTACAGATACGTGGCAATACACCACCAATTCCCACGATTATCAGTCACTTATTTGAAACGATGCTATGCACGAAAAAAGAAAAAAACAGTTAAATGTATTAGTAATAACAACAACACGCGATGATACATGCAGTGCAGGCGGATTACGAGGTTGCCAGTTGTGTGAAGGGTTTTGTTTTTCTGTTTTTCTTCGGAAAATTATAAGCAAGTAGATTATTTTGTTAGAGACAGGTAATTAATAAATACTCGTAGATGTATTGATACATTTTACGCTATTAGGCATATGGATTTAAATTATTAAGATGCAAAATTAATTTATTTCATGACTAAAAAAAACAAGATCCGCATTTTTTTGCTCCGAAACGGTTGATTTTCGGACATAGGTTATAATGAACTTTTTTGCTTAGAATAATGCAAAGAATCACCTCTTAAAGTTACGAATATTATTTCCCTAAAACGCTGTATAATGGAAAAATAATTAGCTTATTAAAAAAATCTCCATTATTTAACATCTTCCACTAGAACTAGAAGATAGCCAATCCAACTGAAAGACATGTCTCCGCGACCACAGCCTTTAGGCGTCAGCGTTGCCACGCCTTGGGCTATATTAACGCAGGTTACGGGATTTCCTTTTCCTTCATACCATTCTGAGAATACGGAATCTTAGGGATAATTTTTGTTCCTATTACTCAATTAAGGTCTCATGTCCCTTTTTTCATCTGCCTGTTTGGAGCAGTATTATAAGTCGTTTTCATCAAATTTTTTTATGGTGTGTATAGAGAAGACTAAAAAACAATATTATCAATTTTTGTTGTCAAAATTCCACTTTTTGTAGTAAAAAATCTTTGATTTTCTTAAAACCTCATTTTTCGGCAGTTAAGCCCCTTAAAATCAAAAATCGTTATTTTTCCAAGAAAACCTTTTAAAAGCGATTCAAGAATAATTTTATTATGAGACTAAATGGTCCGACTACTGAGATGAGTGAATTTGTCAAAAATTTGGGTATTACTTTTGATGAATGTCTTAAACTTAGCATCAAGAATACTCATCAGACCCTCTGGACAACATAGCCGTAACGAGGAAAAATGTAAGTGAACGTCTTCTTGGAGAATAGGTTAATCAGTGGTATTATGTTATATAAATAGTTAATGCAACTTTATCCATTTCAATTCGATAGAGTTCAACTATTGACATTTCTAATATTGATAACAACTACACATAATTGCGCATAAATATTGCAAATGCACTATGTAAACTAACATATAATATCGATGTCGATATGAACACATTTCATCTAAAATGCAGTAAACAAGTTAACTGATTTCCCATGGGTGTGGTTTGTTTGCGATTTAGAAATATCTACCGGTTGCTCTTCTCCTTTCGTGGTAATTTCCAAGCTGCGATTCAACATTTATTTTATCGTATTTAAGGTCTTAATCTTCAGAATGCAAATAGGTCAAAAATTCGGATGGCGATTCTTTCAACAATCTGCCCTTTGACAATCTCAAGAATCTACAAAGTCATGTCATTTTTATTAGATGAATTATGCAATACTGAGATTAGATTACATTATTCCATTCATTTTGCAACATTGTGTAAAGATTATATATACTTATAGTAAGTAGGTCATTCATAAATCCAAAAAATAATCAAAAATTTCAACGAGCTTACTTAAGATAATAAGATATCAAGAGACTGTCGATATAAACTGAAATATGAATATTTTACCAGATATAGAGAGGATCATGGCCCATCATAGGATATTTTGGCTCTGAAAATAACTTACCTAAATTTTAAGATGACCGCATTTATCAAGGTTTCGCATTTAAATATTTCAGAACATGTTTATGTATTTTAAACTTTCAGCATTTTTTCTTTTTATTTTAGAAAACGATTCTTCAATGGAAGTTAGGCTAGTTCGCGTTTTTGGTATTTTGTCCTACATTCATTGATAATTTTTGAGTACTTGGTAGTATTCTCGTTATGTGTGTATTCATCTGGTTCAACTTTTGTTTTTATTTCCCACGCCTACTGGCGAGAAAGTAGTATTGTCATCTCGAAAAATTTCGGAAATGAGATATTGCTTTTTGAATGTTATACGACATGCATATCACGAAAAAATACTCATTTCCGTCGGTCTGTCGGTCTATTTGTCGGTTTGTCTGTCCGCAAATCCTTGGTCCGTTTATAACTTGGAAAATACCGCCCGGATTTTGATAAAATGTTCACACGAGACAATTATTAAGATATTTAGATTTTTTGCAGCATAACGGGAAAAAACTAAAAAAGAATCGTTTTAGAGGCTCCTGGTCATTTTCGCAAAGGTAAAGACCGGGGGTTGGGGCTTGTAGGGTGTGGGAGAGGATATATCTTATTTTACTATCGGCAGAATATTAATACTTTTCCAGCCCCGGAAATTTGACGCTCCTATTAGTACTTGTTTCACACATCATAGATTTCCTCGTACATTTGCCCTTAAAACATTTACAGACGCGACACGTGGTCGGTTGGGACGATTGAAACCTGATGAGCAGTGTATGTGTGCGTATGACTATATCGCAGACGTTCTCGATCTCGAATTATCAAATGAGTGGGGATCATGGAGTACTGACTAAATGTATAGGCCTGTGGCTAACTTGATCCATTTAATTTTTTATGTTATGTTTATGAACTATGTCAGCGTTGCTTGTTAAGTGAACAGTCATATTCTTAAATGAATTAATTTTAGATAAAACTGTATATTAAAATAAAAAAAAATGTTTATGACATACGCTCTTGAGCGTTTGAATGCAAAAATTCCAGAGATGCGATTAATTTAAACTTCAGGTGCTGATACATGTTGTTACAATTTTGTCAACACCGAACTTTTTTTGAGGGGTAGTTAGTGTCTGTTGGGATAATTTTTACATTTATTCTTCTGTAGGTAATATTCCATCACATTACGAAACTTGTACCTCTCTCGTGAGGTCCATTTTCAAGATGTAAGCAGAAAGGAATCAACTATGTATATACAGGTAATAACTGTGTTAAGTGACACATTTTTGTGACCAAATTGTGATCATTAATTTGTCAAACTCATATTAACAATTGTATCAAACAAATAAAAGGAGATACACTAACACACAGAGAATTTGATTACGGGTTTCAAGAAACACACACTCATGAGCGAGATTAGGTTCGCGGTAAATATTTGCTTTGCTCTAACAGCCCGACGTCATCGTACGTTATCGCATGGCATAAGTTCCCCTTTTAGCAACTGTTTATCAATGTTTGTCGACCGAATTTCACATCCGTCGAAATTCGTACTATCATCATCACACCACTGACTGACACTCCACATTTGAATGGCCTCGACCTCGACTAAAGTGTCTGGAAAGTTTCCTAAAGTTGCTAGTTTATCAAACACTTTAAATAGTTGCTAAAATGAAAATTCTAATCGTTTTATCCGACACTTCAAGTAAACAATGTATCAGTCTTCATTCTCATATGAACGCTGAACGCTGTCCCTATATTACTAATTGCATTTCATATATTAAGGGTTGTGTCCGCCGGAAGCGAAGTGCATAGTGGGGGGGAACTAAACCGATCGACAAAAAGGGAAACAAACGATATAGGCGTGGTTTCTACGATATTTCATAAGGGGTCAATTGTTTTTCAAATTTTCCCTAGCCTTACATCGACTAAATGTCTGTCATTTTCGTTAAGAATATGTTTTCTGACCGATATTCGCTAGGTGGTGCTAACATCGGGCCCACAGCGAATAAGGTCAAAATCTCAAGAACTGTTACGTGTAGCAGTCAGAGATGTCAAAGCAATAATAACCTATAACTGTCAACATAGTTATTAACACGTTCACTGCGTTGGCTAAAAACCTAAGTTGGGCAAACTTGACTCGTACTGAGTTGGCCCGACATGCGTTACGGGTGAAATGTACCTCGTAGTCAACAATAAACTTTTTTTTTTGGTAACATAAAAGCTTTTTTAAAGAAATAACCACACAGTAATAATTATTAATTAGTATTAATTAATCTAAAACAGAGCCAGGAAAAACTGAAGTTAAATAATAGTATTTTTACGATAGAAAAAAGTAAAATATGTATTTTTGCAATAACATTGAAAACACTTTCTTTAATATTAAACTAAAACAGTTAAATCCTAAGCTAAAATATAGAAACAGCCAAATTCTAAGCTAAAATATTTTGTCATTTATATAAAAGAAAAGTAAAATATTGATTTTGCAATCCAAAACGACTAATGGGCTTCATTAAAACAAACTAAGCAGTAGGCCGGCTTCCCCGCGCACTCCTCGGAGTGAGTGTAGGCTTTTTTACCTTTTTGTCAGCTTCGCGACTATTCATTGTTCTTCTTAGTAATTTGTTGCATCCTACACATTTTCTCCTCTTTTTGTTTTCGGTTTCCCCTACAGTAAGGGTATGGTATCTTTTAGGAGTTCTTGGCCGTTCTTGTTGCAATTCTTCTCTGCCACACTGATAGAAATATTTCGCTAGCTTTTCTCTAAATTGGAAAATTGTGAGCTTGCTAGTTGGATGTTGATGATTAAACATATCCCAAGCATTGACGATTGCTGAATTAAAAATCAATTTAACTGCAATTTTTTTGTACCATTTTAAACTCTTTCGGAGGGGACTCTGGTAAGTTGCCATCTGGTCACTGTAATCGACACCTTTTTTTGCGTTATTGTAATCGATTGCACACTGTGGTTTTTTTACAGTCTGTCTCGTTTTCTTATTTTTCCTGAATTAACTAATGATGTATCGTGATTTTCACAGGTAGAGAGCATCAGAACCGGTCTTTTATCTACCCACTTCATAATTTTTATGCCCTCTGACTCTTCTCCAGCTATTCGATCTCTTTTAAGCTGTTGAGAAATAATATTTTTAGGAACAGTTTTGCGATTCTTTTTCAAGGTACCACAAATTCTTGTTTTTTTGGTCTTCAAATATTTTGCCAATTCATAAGAAATATAAAAATTATCGCAATATAAAATGCGGCCGTATTCATAGTAATCACTAAGTAATGAATCCACTATAAACTCTGCGTGGCTGACGGTACCCTAACCGCAAAGTTTGTAAAGTTTCACACCATATTTGTGGGATTTATTTTTTATATATTGTTTCATTCTTAGGCTCCATGGTATCATAGACTTATCTATAACTATTTTTTGGAACAATCATTGCTTCTTTGAATGTCTTTGTCAAGCTGTCAATCAAATGGCGAATTTTGAACAGTCTGCCTTCGCCAGTATCATCTATGTTATTCATGAAATGCCAGCATCTTAAAATAATTAAAAATCGGCCCCTTGTCAAACAAGATAATATAAATTTATTATGATATAAGGAATCTTTGGACCAATACAAATTCATTATTGGAGCGTTCACAATTCCCATGGCTATTACTATGGCAAAAAAGTTTTGCAATTCATTATGATCTACTGGTTTCCATAAATTTAGTCTTGATTTAGGTTTGTTTTTTGTGACATCAAATTTTCAGCATATCTATGTTATTAGTCTCTCGAACCATTTTCTCGATCAACTCGTCATTAACAAACAACTTCAAAAAATCGATAGGGGAAGAAAGGTCAGGTGGTACTTTATAACTAATTTCATTATCACACAAAGTAGGAAACAATTCGCTGTTATATCGACCCAAGTTATATCAGATGGGTCAGGAGCATTTTGTGAAGCATTATTTTGGCTTTGCTTTTAGTGATTCTGGTATCTAGATATAGAATTTTGGTACCAAGAAAAAAAGAGTTCGTTGCGTAATGGTTTTTTGATGTTTGTAGAAAATACACCGAATTTTGTTGTAATCTTGTTCTGTAGTTATGAGTGATAGGCTTCAAGTGGTTCGTATGTTTGATAATTTTTTGCAATCTAACAGAGAGATTGTAGATAAGTAAGTCTCCTTATGGAAGATCAATTTTAGAATCAACCTTTTTGTAATTACTATTCATAACTCCTCCCAAGGTCGAAATTCCATAAACTAGTAACGGATAAACATAATGACATTTTTTATATAAAGTATCTTTGAAAAATCTGAATTTAGGAAATAATAAGTTTCAGTCTCTTCATCTGTATGGGCATCTTCAAGTATTTGTCCAAAATTACGCCTAAGAATTTCATTTTATCAGTTGACCGTCTCTTTGAGACCACTGCCCGTATGAGATTCAGGCTTACTTAAATGTGATGAGGGTCTATCGTCACAAGAAAATGCTATATAGTGTGCTTTTTGTAATTAACTGTCGTAGTTCTTTCAGAAAAAAATTATAAACGTGTTGGAATATTTTTGATTTCCATCCGCGAAACCGATAACTTTACCAGTACTGCTTAATTTGAACAAATCGTTTATAAATATACTAAGTGACATATAAATCCGAACACCCAGTTTAAATGGTTTTATTTTAATAAAATTTTGTAGAAGTACTTAATGAAGCATAATAAGTAAATCGTCGTCCATACCGCAGACAGGCGTATCTGATAAAAAATCAAATTCGAGTTAACGGATTCAAATCAACAAGGTATAGCATATCTTCAATCCCGCAAAGTGGCGTAACTCTAAGTAGTTCGCTCATAGAGATATCAGCATAAAACTAAACGTCGTATCTCTCAGAAATGAAATACAATACACCGCAAATAGGCGTAAATGAAGATACGCCTACATGCGGTGTCCATTTTTTGCTACTCTCTCAGTGGTAACTAAGATATGTCCTTTTGACTTACAGAACACATATGATGTTTTGTCCGAATTGAGTCACACCTCATCTGAAGGCGATCCCTTTGCTGCAGTCGAGATTTATAATCCGGAAGATCCGGACTATCGTCAAACTTGTGAAGTTAAAAGCTGTAAAGGAGATGTGTTCGGTTCCTGCTTTCAATGCTCAATTTTTCCATGTTAGAAGCATTTTGAAGATGATACCCTATCCTGCCAGGACGGACACAGGACAGTACAGAGCAGTGTACTTAGCAAAGAGAAACAGGAAGAGAGGCGCCCTGAAGATTTTTTTGTAGGAGGTTCCCAGGCAGAAGGTGATAGGAAAAAAAAGTCAGAGAAGATAAAAGAAGAATTGCAAAAACGTTGAGGAATCAAGGCGAAACATATATTTCGCCTGTAACTAAGAAAATTGTGACGGAGAAAGCACTTAAGGGAATCTACAATATAGAAATGTGTAAGAAAAGAAAAAGGATGTGTTATTTGTTCAGCAGTCCTTTAAGAACAATGTTATTCTCACAGTTTTATAGTCTTGGTGACCTCCAACAACAAAGAGAGTATATAGCACGTTTTGTATTATCTGAAAACCCAAAACATAGAACTACAATTAGTTTGTAAAAAAATGTTCCTTGGGACCCTTGAGATAAGTGAGAAAGTTTGCAGGACCGCAATAAAGAAATTGAATAGAACAACGAGTGTGCTAGAAAAAGAAAATCGTGGAGGTCGACGGGAGTTACAATCATCAAGAGACAGTCATTAGAAAAAGTATTGAGCACATAAATATTTTCCCCAGAGTAGAGTCACATTACTGCCGGAAGTCCTTAACTAAACAATACCTACATGAAGATTTATCTCTGATTACATTGTATCACATGTATAAACTGGAAGACCAACAAACAAAGGGAAGTTTTTCTTTATATAGAAAAATTTTCAGATCCATGAACCTTTCATTTCACAAACCAAAAAAAGATCAATGTGGTCTTTGCAAGTGTTACAGAGAAGGATCGGAAGAAGTAAAGGCTAATTTGGAAAAGTAGTACTTGGCCCACATTTTAGAAAAGGAAACAGTAAGAGAAATAAAGAATAGCTGCAAAGAAAAAGCTAAAAATGATACAAAGGTGCTACATTTGATCTCCAACAAGTTATATACTTACCAATTTCTAATCATTGTTCCGTATTTTATAAAACACGGCTTGCTGTCTACAATCTAACTATGTATGAAGTAGCATCTCGAGAATGTTTTTGTTATACATGGAGTGAGACTGAAAGTAAACGTGGTAGCTCGGAAATATCGACTGCTGTTTATTTATTTATTTCCAAAAAAGACAAACAAGGCTACAATACTGTTGACTTATTTGCTGATGGTTGTAGTGGCCAAAATAAGAATTCGGTAATGGCTACCACTCTTTTATATCTCGTCAGTAATTGCTCAAACGTTAAAGAGATATCGTTAAAAATTTTTGCCTCCTGACATGGACAAAATGAAGGCGATTCAGCACATAGTGCAATAGTTACGCTTTGAAAAATGCAGGTGAAATTATTGTGCCGAGCCAGTTATTGCCAGTCTATGCACTAGCAAGGAAGAAACAGTTATATAAGGTTCGTCCCTTAGACTAATTTTTTTGACCTCAAAAAACTCGCATCAGACTTAAGAGTATTATCTATTCGAAAAGATGATAAAGACATGGATGTGAATTGGAAAAATATGATGGAATTCAAAGTGACAAGTGATAATTGCAACAAAATCTATTTCAAGACTAGCCATAAGCAAGACTACAGGTCCATAACCTTGAAAAGTAATGTTTCCGATATTTTAAAAAAAGAGCTGTCTCTGAATAGCGACCTATGAAAAACCATAAATAAAAAATATAATGATTTGACCTCACTTTGCCAAGGCGATAGGCCTGCCATCACTCTACCAGAACATCAACGTTTTTATGATTCACTACCTCAAGAGGACCAGCCATAGATGTTTTTGTTTGAAATCATCTTCTTATTTCTGTTCTGTATTATCCTTGAGTTGCTTGAGTATTATTTACATCTGAGAATAATGTGTTTTTTTATTTAATCTAATTTTATTCCATATGGAGTGAAAGGCGTATCTTCAAACCGCTAGACTATTGTAATTGTCAAGGTTACCGCAAAGAGGCGTATCTGGAAAAAAAAATAAAAAACATGTTTAGCTGAGAATATGAATTTCCTTTCCTCTATATACTTCTCAGAAGATGATGAACACACTTTTTAGGTATGTTATTGGAAGAAATTATGCTCATATTGTCTAAAGTAGTAAAGATATATGAAATCAAATAACTGTCGATATTCATTTTGCTTCTACTGAAAATTTATATAAAATCAGTTACGCCTGTTTGCGGTACGGACGACGAAATGATAAAAATTTCAAAATGATTGCACTGCTTTAAAGCCCTTTGACCTTTAATAATGTGTGGATGCACCCTGATGTGCTACGCATTCTCCAACGCGCCTAGGCATGCTTCTGATCAGGTGGTCAATGTCCTCCTGTGGTATCTCATTCCAGGCAACCACCAACTCCTCTCGAAGTGCTTCTAGAGTCTGAGGAGGACGTTGCAAATTGAGCAATCTCCTACCCATCATATCCCACACGTGCTCAATTGGGGATAAGTCGGGAGATCTTGGTGGCCATGGTAACAATGTGACATCATTATGTTGAAAGAAGTCTATTGTGACTCTTGCAACATGTGGTCGGGCATTACCTTGTTGGAAAGTTGGATCTGCCAGGGTGTCAAGATAGGGTAAAAGATGGGGTTCTATAACTTCGTGGATATAACGCTGCGCGTTCATGTTACCTCTGATGAAGATTAAAGGTGACCTGGAACCATAAGCTATAGCACCCCAAACCATAACTCCAACACTGTGATGAACATGTCTTTCAACAAAAAACTGCGGATTCCTCCTTTCACCACGTCGCCTTCTAACCCTGGCACATCCATCGTGCATGCCTAAACAAAATCGAGACTCGTCACTACAGACAATAATGTTGCATTCCTGACCCCAGAGTGACCGTTGTCTGCACCACTCAAGGCGATTACGTCGGTGTTCTCGAGTTAAAGGGAGGACCCAGTGTGGCCGGTATGAAAACAAGCCAAAACTTCTCATTTGTCGGT